TAAAATCCAAACATACTATGTCATATGAAATGAGCTTAGAATAATGACATAAGCTTTCTAATAAACTACACTTGTGATAGCCTGGCTATATATCCAGCAAGGATAGTCACGTGATCATTTGTTATTGAAAATAATATGCTTTAGAAGGCAATACCAATTAAGTTCCATAAAGGCTCCTTCCGTTCATTCCTAATATTTGAGTCCCCAGCACAAATAATAGAGCTTTGGAGGTACTGCATCATAAGAAGGAGAATCATAATCCTTCAAATCTGCTTGTGCTGCGGCAGATGGATGGGTGAAACGTTTGACAAATTCTCTATCATTTTAGAGGAGACTGAGAAGCAGAGCAGAGCACCGAATGAGAACCTGAGGGCCTCGGAGGCCTGCCAAAAATCAGACCAAGTAAACATTCACACCTAGGAGTTAAATCAACAGAAGTACCTAGTAGCCAACAACTTTTGCTATTGTTCCATCCCAGGAATCTTTCTCACCCCCACATGCTAGATGGCTTCTTCACAAACACTAAGCTTTGTTACTTGCCATGTATACAGTGTGGTGAACAAAGAAGGAAGCAGGATGACATTTCTGTTCCAGTGAGGTAATTACTTGCATTAGCTCTTTAATCCTTGTCCTGAGAATTAAAATAACATAATATGTGCCAAGCACACAAAGCAGGACTGCACCTGGCACATGGTAAGCAGTCAAGAGGTGCTGGTTGTTGTTGGTGTTGCCGTTGTTTCCATCATACTTTCATCTTTTCTTTCCAGACATTCCTCACCAACTCAAGCCATGTCCTACCCATTTATCTACCATTTTGTAGACAAAGAGAAGACATAACTAAGAAGAAGAAATAAAGAAGTACTCAGGAATAGAAGCACAGAGATAGTTGCTCTCCAATATTCTGCCTGAGTTCATGAGCTCAGGCAGAATACTCTACATCAGTGTGCTTATCTACAAAATGGGAGGATGGGAAGACCTGCTGTTTGACAAGCCATAGGGTAATTTAACATCAATATATAGCCAAGGAGCAAAGAACCTAGATTTCTGCTGAATCCCTGGATGCTAGTTGGGGCGCGGGGGGGGGCATCGTATGGATCCCATTCACTACACTTCCTTCTTTGCCAAAAATAGAAGCAAAATTTGCCTTAAACATAGCTGTTTTATTGGGTATTGTCTGCTGTGAATAAGGAAGTTTTTAAGAGTCCTGTGAGGACAATGCAATATGTGACGTGTTCATCTTAACTTCCCAATATAAGGAGACACAGTGCATAATGTAGGCATTTCCCTCTCTTTATATATGTGTGTGTATGCGTGTGTATGAATATGCATATACACATATTACAGGTACACATTATATGTCTATGTTACATACACACACACATACACATATGTACACATACTTAGACATGCAAACTATTGTGCTTAAAATATTTTTGTTCATGGCACACTCTTACTGTTGACTATATATTAAACCACAAAAAACCTTCCCCCTCATGGAAACTAGAACACTGACAATTACTTACATACACTTCATTGGTATTACCTCATCCCTTCTCTATTCCCCCCTGAAAATAACCATATACTAGATTTTGTGTCCATCGTCAGCTTGCTTTCCATTTATATCATTTTATCATGTCTAAAAAATTATATTCTCATTTTAGTCATTTTTAACTATAAGAATGCTGTATGTAATAAAATATCCTGGGACTTACTGTTTTTATCTAAAATGATTGCTAAAATCAATCCACTTGGTTGTGTGTAGCTATACTTCAATTTTTTTGACACTTACATTGTAATACACCACATTTTATTTATCCATTTTTCTGTCAATGGGCATTTGAATTATTTCCACATTATACAATTTGAAATGTATATGAACCAGTACTAATTCAATGAGCACCCAATGCTTTTCTTTAAACACTTTACCACTCAGACACAGTCATGAAACCAGTCAAAGGGGAAAGAATTAGGGTTGAATGCATTTTAGTAAGGCCTGCTTTTTGGGGTGGGGGAGTTCCCTTTAGTAAGGACTGGTGCTTGCCTGTTAACGCCAGTGGATGCATTTTTATAAAGATTTATTTACTCTTGAGCCAGCCATTTCCAATCAACAATAGCTTTGCTACTTTAAACTGTGCTTCAGTTTCTTTCTCTTTGAAAATAACCAGGCTGATTTTAAAACACTGTAAGATTCCTCTCACCCCCTGAGAGTCTAAGCCCTGAAGGAGAGAGAGGGACCTATCTACAGTAGGACAACCTCACATTTGTTGTGGAATTATGAAGCACATGATGCTCTATATTTTATATACATTATTTTATTTAATGTTCGCAATGACCTGATGAAGTAGTTACTATTATCTTCATTTTAGAGATAAAGAAACTGAGACAGAGATTAAAGAAAAGACCACACACACATCTAAGGTTTTTAAAAGCTAGCTAGTGAGTCATGGAATGAAGATGGAAATCCATCCAGCCTAAAGCAAAAACCCACCCTGTTGGCCAAGCACTCTGGATCTCAGCCAGCTGAGTCATCTTCCGAATTCCCTAGAGTTCTAAGAGCAATCATTGTCAAATTCAAGCATGCAACTTGCATCTCAAGCTAGAAGACCTTCCTCCCACAAACTAAACAATGAAATTGTTTTTGGAATAGATTTTTCTTCTTGGAATAGAAGATTTTTTCATCAGTACCTGGTTAAAAAAAAATCACTTACGCATTTTTTTGGTTCGTTATCATGACCATTCACTCCTAAGTGAACAGAGCAGACTTGAAGTTGCTAAGACTGAAGATGTCACAATGAATTCTGATGGAGAACTTTTGTGTCACCAGCATTCCAAACTGTGATATGATAGCATATTCTTATAATGTTTTATATACTTTTTTTAAAAGATTTATTTATCTATTTGAGAAGGTGAGTGAATGAGAGAGAGAGAGAGAGAGAGATGGGGGGACAGAGGGAGAGGGAGAATCTCAAACAGACTTCCCACCAAGTGGGGAGCCCGACATGGAGCTCAATCCCATGACCCTGGGATCATGACCTGAGCCAAAATCATGACCTGAGACACTTAACCAACTGAGCCACCCAAGCAGTCCTATCTTACTTCTTAGACATTTCTCTGCAGTGTGACTGCAGCACCATGGAAAATTAAATTCAGAATGTAGAAATTAGTGCAATATTTGAATATTTTTGCCAATATGCAAAGTTGCAGAATTTTCAGTTTATTAAATATTATCAGTGTATGAAAGCTTCAGTTCATTAGGAGGCTGAAAGAATACCGTGTTGCCAACTTATAATCATCAGCCAGTGAACATTCATCTTGTGTCATGTGCAGAATACTGAATGAGGCAGTTGGGGCACGATAAAAGAAGTAGAAGACTGCATCAAATGATTTTATAATTTAATTGAGAAAATTATCTAAACTTAAGAGCAGCTTATTAAATATCAAATACAAATTTAAATGGTATGAAATAAATTGGTGTATACTTAGGGAACACAGAGTAAGAGACAATTTACAAATTAATCAGAGACCAGCTTTAAGGAAATTACATGTGCTCTAAAAGTCATAACTCCTCTTGAATACTACTGTGTGCAAGCCTCTATGCTTTAGCCCTGCCCAAGCAGTATCTCATTTTATCTTCACAACCACCTTTTAACAAAGCATTGGTTTTGCTCCCATTTAAAAAATAAAGATGAGGAAACCAAGTACTAGAAAGCCAAGACAACATACCTAATGTCACCCAGCTAACTGGGTCAGGATTTAAGCCCAAGTCGGTCTGACACTGAAGCTGATGTGCTAACCATTATGTGTACTGTATTTAAAGAAACTGCACAAAGGTGGATGTTGGCTCTGGAGAGATGGACAAAGAGAGATGAGTACATTCTTAGAGAACAGCACAAGCACAAAGGCAGGTATCATGTGGAAGACTGGAGATAGATCAGTTTTGTTTGTTTTTTTTTAACCTTTGAAGTAACTTTAAACTTACAAACAAGTTACAAAAAGAGTAAGAAGAGTTCTCTTCTATGCCTCAACTTCCTTTCCCTGGTTGTTAACATCTTACACAACAATGTTCAAGAACAAGCAATTAACATTGGCACAATATAACTAACGAGACTTTAGATCTTATTTAAAATTCCAATTTTCCCATTAGTGTTCTTTTTCTGCTCCAGGACCCTATCCAGGATCCCATATTGCACTTAGTTGCCATTTCTCCTTAGGCTCCTCTTGTCCATCACAGTCCTCCGGTCTTTCCTGGTCTTTCATGGTTTTGACACTTTTGAAAAGTACCGATCTGTTATTTTTGTAGACTATCTCCCAATTTGCATTTGTTCAGTATTTTCCCATAATGGAATGAGGCTATACATTTTTGGCTAGAATATCACAACAATGATGTTTCTGTCCTCAGTGTACCATATCTCGAGGTTCAAAATATCAATGTATCTTAATTACTGGTGTCTGCTAGGTTTACCCACTGTAAAATTACTATCTTTTCCTTTGTAGTTAATAAGTATTTGGGGGTGGGGGAGATTGCTTGAGACTAGGCAATTCTTATTTTTCCTCAAATAATTGCCCCCTAATTTTAGTATCCATTGGTAGATCTTGTCTGACATTATTGGTGCAGTGTTTGCCTAATGATGGTTCTCTATTTCTCTCTTTTCTTCTACATTTGTTGATTGGAATACCATTGTGAGAAAGAGCTGTCTTTTCTCCTTTACTTATTGATTTATGTATATACGCATGGATTATGGATATTGGTTTATTCCATGGGTTAAATCCAATATTATTATTATTATTATTATTAATTTTGTGGCTTGAATTATTCCACCTTTGACCACTGGGAGATCCCTTAGGTTGGATCCTGTATTCTTTTGACAAGATTCATTTATTTAAATCATTTCCTTGTTTTCTGGCATAACATGCTATTCTAGGTTCATCTTGTATATTTCTTGCCCTAGCCCTGGAATCAAACACTTCTTCAAGAAGATATGATTCCTGAGAATGGTGGCAGCCGCGGAGGCTCTGGCAGCTTGGGACTGAGTGCAAGTAACAAAATCACCATGATTCTTCAGAGGCTCTTCAGGTTCTCCTCTCTCATTCAGTCTGCAGTCTCAGTTCATTTGAGGAGGAACATTGGTGTTACAGCAGTGGCATTTAATAAGGAACTTGATCCTGTACAGAAACTCTTCGTGGACAAGATTAGAGAATACAGAACTAAGCGACAGGCATCTGGAGGACCCATTGATACTGGCCCAGAGTACCAGCAAGACCTAGAGAGGGAGCTTTTTAAGCTTAAGCAAATGTATGGTAAAGCAGACATGAATACGTTGCTGGACTTCAAATTTGAAGATCCTAAATTTGAAGTCATCGAAAAACCCCGGTCCTGAAGAAAGAATGTAAAATTTATTTGGTGATTTGTCCTAGATTAGTTGTACAACTGTATCAGAATAAACATACATTTCTCAGCTGTCAAGTGTTCTTTTAATTCTGATTCCAAATAAATTATTTGGTGATGTTGGGTGTGCAAAAAAAAAAAAAAAAAAAAAGATATGATTCCTTCTATTGAAGAACAGCAATTAGAGACTAAGATTTAGGTGCTAGGTATGCTCAGATTAGATTTTATTACCATCTTCAGATTTTTCTTTCTCATTTATGAAAACTAATCTTGGTGATATGGGAATGAAGAGAACAACTGGGTAAGCCTTTGAAGTATTGTACATGCAAACCTAAAGAGTTGGGATTTGATATCATTGACAGTAGAGAGAAATTTTGTAAAGTTAAGCAAGGGAGTAAGTGATGGAATTGTGTTACAGGATAATTCTAATACTCAGGTGCAGGATATAACAGGTGAGTGGGCAAAAGCCTGGATGATTAAGAAAAACTAGGTAAGGTTACCTTTGCACTGAGTGACAGAGGCCTGGTAGTAGAATAAAAGTGTAGGAAGAAGAAAGAAAAGGAAGAAGCAGAAACATTAGAGAAAAATAATTGGCTAGAGATGGTGATAGACACAACAGAGGGTTGGGGAAAGTGTAAAATTATTCTGTTTGGTATTTCAGAGAGCTGAATATATAGAGGTGTCACTGGTAATATCAGGAATGATTGATTCTGTGTCAAGAAAGCACATATTTCAGTTTTGACATATTTAGCTTAAGAATTATTGAGACATGTTAATGGAAATATCTCCAGTAGGAATGGGAGATATTATACTAAAGATAGATATTGTATTTTTGAACTCCAAATACCTACCTCTGTACGTCCTTTTAGTAGGTATTTAGAATAAAGTAGCTAACATTTTTAAGTGCTTACCTTGTGTTAGGCTTATGCCAGGCATTTTTATATACATCAAGCATTTATATATATTTATATTTATGTATATATGGTTTTATTTAATCCTCATAATAGTCATATTCATATCATTTCCATATTTTTTATGGAGAAGCTGAGATTCAAAGAGACTGAATAGCTTGACCAAAGAGACACAGCTGGTAATTTATGAAATCAAGATTTGACTCCAGCTCATATGATTCCAATGCCCCTACTCTTCATCAATGCACTGTTTTTAAGAGAAAAGTAGGTAAACATGTAGAGTGATCAAACAAAAAGCATGCCTTACAGAAATAGATTTGAGACTTATTTGTGCAGATGAATTCACTAGAAGAGTAAGGCTAAAGGAATAAAAACATCCTAAGACAGAATCTCAATAAAATAGATTTGAAACAAGGAAGACAAAGGCAAAGATGATTAAAAGGAATAAAACAGAGAAGGAAATAGAAAATACTGTTAGCATATCAGAGAAAAACAAAATGCTATGGTAAGAGATTTCTACCAGTAATGGTAGGTAAGCTTATTGCAGGCCAACACCCCTGCCAAGGACAATTATAAAATGCAGAAAATGTCTCAAACCATTTGTTTTAAGGTACCAGAAAGCTTACCAAATTAGCAAAGACCTCAAGAGACAAGATCCCAGAGTAAAGTGAAGCTCCTAGGTAAACTTAACATTAATGCCCTTTGCCTGTGCAGCATTTGTCAGTTTTGAAGAGACTGTACAAAGCTTCTGGAAGTCGTAATGGGACTCGGGGTAAGAAATTGGAATTCAGGGTCTATCAAGGAGAGGCCTTAGTAAATAATCTACACTTTCAGCTGGGATCACAAATGACTATACTTTAGAAATTTACCATCCCTCACACAGAATAAAGCCCACCTCTAATTGACTCTATCCAAGATTCAATTAAGACAATCTGCCCAACACTAAATGCCTTCCGGTAGAAAAAGTAAATCCTTTTTGGAGGAAGATAACACTTTACAAATTTTCATACACTGTGTACAGGATTCAGTAAAAAATTAGCCAATATCCAAGAGACAAGAATAAATGCTCCAAATCCAAGACAAAAAGAAGAAAACAGACACAGACCTGTACAAGATCCAGATATTATCATCAGACTTGGATATTAAAATATATGTGATTAATATAATTCAAAAAATAAAAAGACAAAAAGAAAGATTTCAGAAGAGAAATGGAAACTATAAAAAGGAATCAAATGGGAACTACAGAATTGAAAAATATAATTGAAATTACATCTTAATAGACAGCTTCAAGAGCAGATTAGATAGAACTAAAGAAAATATTACTAAACTAAAATTTGTGTCAGAATAAAATATTCAAGCTGAATCAGAGGGAGAGAAATAGTGAATATCACATTTTTAAAAGTGTGGTAGACATATAGGACATGGTAAAAGATAGAGTACATGTATAATTGGAATCCTAGGAGAAGGAGAATAAGGCAAAAGTAATACTCAAAGAGATAAGGGCTGAGAACCTCCCAAATGGATGAAAATATACCAAGTCCTAGGTTGAGGAAGTGCTACAAACACTACCGACGAAGAAACAACCATACTGAGGTATTTCAGGAGCTTTCCAAGAAAAAAAAAAGGGACAGGAGTAAGATAGTTGCCAAAGTCTCAACAGAAACATATGAAGCCAGAAGATAATCGGATTATATTTTCAAATTGCAAGGGAAAAGAAAAAATGGAAAATATTCCAACTTCGATTTGTTTGTCTGATGGTAATCCTTCAAAAGAGAAAAGAAAAATGAGATGCTCTCAGACCAAAATGGAGATTTTGTCACACTGAAGGAAATACAGGAAAATCCTTCTTTAGTCCAAAGTGAAATGATCCCTGATGGACGCACTGAAATGCTGGAAGAAATGAAGAACGAGTAAAAAAGATAAACATACAGGGAAAACCTAGATGAATATTGACCATACACAAGAATACCCATAATGTCTTGTAGAGCTAATACACACACACACACACACACAGGATTAAAATACATGACAACAAAAGCACAAAAGAAAGAAGGAAAAGGGGTATTAAAGTGTTCTAAGACCCTTACATGTCTTGGGTAGTGGCAAAAATAATTTAAATTGAAATTTAATATGTCAAAGATATTTACAGTGATGTCTTAGAGTAGCCACTGAAAGAATAATAAAACGGAATAATAAAAAGTTACAATAAAAATAGTAACTGGTGCTTCAAAAGAAGCCAAGAAAGGAAAGAAAAGGGAGGGACAAGTAGATGACAAATTAGAGAACAAATTTAAATCCAAACATACTAATAGCACAAAATGTAAGCATACTGAACACTGTAATTTTTTTAATCACCAAATAGTATTAAAAAAAAAAAAACACAGACTGCTTAAAGGGATGTACTTTAAATATAAGGAAATAAATATAAGGAAAATAAAATAATGGGGAATACACAATCAAAATGAATCAAAACAAAGCTGGGATAGTTATGTCACTATTGGAAAACAGGCTGGAAGTATTGCTAGAAATAAAACTGGGATTTGTTTCATAATTATAAAATGGTCTATTAATAGGAAATTGAATAAAAACAAAGTATATGCCCTTAATAAAATATCCCCAAAATATATTGAAAAAAAAATTGACAGAAATAAAGTGAGAGAAAAATCAACAATTATAGGTGAAAGTTTTAACACAACTTTCTCTAACTAATACAGTAGACTAAAACAATAAGTAGACTAAAACAACAACAAAAAAACATAATAAGAATATAATGATATGAACCACATGATTAATATGCTTGACCTCTATAGAACTCTGCATTCAAAGACTGCTTTTTTTCAAAAGAATAGAGAACATTTACCAAAATTAACAAGACACTGGACCATAAAGCAAATCTTAACAAATTTTCAAAAGATTGAGGGAAAAGAAGAGCCATACGTACCCCAATGTTCATAGCAGCAATGTCCGCAATAGCCAAACTGTGGAAAGAGCCAAGATGCCCTTCAACAGATGAATGGATAAAGAAGATGTGGTCCATATATACAATGGAATATTACTCAGTCATCAGAAAGGATGAATACTCAACTTTTACATCAACATGGATGGGACTGGAGGAGATTATGCTAAGTGAAATAAGTCAAGCAGAGAAAGTCAATTATCATAGGGTTTCACTTATTTGTGGAACATAAAGAATAGCATGGAGGACATTAGGGGAAGGAAGGGGAAAATGAAGGGGGGCAAATCGGAGGGGAAGACAAACCATGAGAGACTATGGACTCCGAGAAACAGACTGAAGGTTTTGGAGGGGAGGAGGGTAAGGGGATGGGTTGGTCCAGTGGTGGGTATTAGGAGGGCATGTACTGCATGGAGCACTGGGTGTTAGACAAAAACAATGAATCATGGATCACTACATCAAAAACTAATGATGTATTGTATGGTGATTAACATAACATAATACAGGGACGCCCGGGTGGCTCGGTTGGTTAAGTGACTGCCTTCAGCTCAGGTCATGATCCTGGAGTCCCTGGAGTCTGCTTCTCCCTCTGACCCTCCCCCCTCTCCTGTGCGCTCTCTCTCTCATTCTCTCTCTCTCAAATAAATAAATAAAATCTTTAAAAAAAATAACATAATACAATAAAATTAAATTAAAAATAAAAAAAAGATTGATGTCACATGGAATATATTCCCAGACTAGAGTGGAATAAAGCTAAAATTAATACCCAAAAGACAACATGAAAAAATCTACAAATATGCAAAGTAACCAATACACTTGTAAAAACACACATATCAAACAATGAATCACAATGAAATAAAAACTATTTTGAACCAAACGGTATGAAACTACGGTATGTCAAAACTTGGGTGATGCAGCTATGGCTGCTTTGAGGAAAAATGATAGTCTTAAGAATAAATATTAGGAAAGAAAAGAAGCTGAAAGTCAGGTCTCTAATTATTCATCTCAGAACTTGCAAAAAGAAGAACAAATTAAAGCCAAATAAATTTAAAGAAGGAAACAGTTCAAGGAAGAAATAACACAATGTAATGTAAAAAGACAAAAGTAAATTTTTAGAATTATTCCTTAAATAAACTGAGTATCAATAGTAGAGAGAAGTCACAAATTGCCAATATAGAAACAATAGGGGGCTTATAACTTCAAATCCTACAGGCCTTAAAAAGTTAAGAAGATATTGTAAACAACATTATTCTAATAAATTTGAAAATTTAGATACAATGCACACATTTCTTGAA